ATAAGGGGCTGCTTCCCCCCCCCCCCCTCCCCCTGCGGTGGCCTCAGAAGGACCCTTCGGAAGGGTCCTTCGAAGGCCACCGCAGGCATTTTCCCCCAGCTGAGTGGTGGGAGCGCTCCTTTGGAGGCTCCCGCCGCTCAGCTGGGGGAAAATGGGGCCTACGGGGAAAACATCGCAAAGCGATTTTTCCCCATAGGCACCTTCGTTATACGATCGCAAAAGCGATGGCGTTTTTGCCATCGCCATGCGAATTCGTCGTTAAACGGGGCACTCGTTATACGAGGCACCACTGTATCTTTATAACTCGCTGAGCTGACTGGATAGCTCAGTGGTTTAGGTATCTGGCTGTGTGGCCAGAGATTGGGAGTTTGATTCCCCACTGTGCCTCCTGGAAGTACAGCCAGCCTGGGTGGCCTTGGGCAAGCTGCACAGTCCCAGGATGCCCCCCAGTAGAAGGGAATGGGAAACCACTTCTGTGTATTCTCCACCAGGAAAACCCCAAAAAGAATCAAATATTTCCTCAAGGCAAATTAGAAAATGACATTTGAAGAGGCATCGAGTGTACACTTATGTGGTATATTTCTCTTTCCCTTTAGCTAACAAGTTAGCACCCTCCCAGGATGGCCGAGGCTCACCAGGCTGTGGCATTCCAGTTCACTGTTTCTCCAGAAGGCATTGACTTTCAACTAAGCCATGCGGCTCTCAAAGAGATCTACCTCTCAGGCCTGAGATCCTGGAAGAAGAAATTCAACCAACTGCGGGTAAAGAAGAGTTCCAAATGTCAAAATTCTGGGCTACGGTTTGATGGTGTTTCAATCTTTGGAACGTGTTAGATCCTAATTAATTCATAGGGAACCTCACTCTTCGGTGTAAGAGAACAGAACAACTAAAATTGTGAATATGGAGAAGTGAGTGGGTTGAGGGGAAGAGTTGTGCCAAAAGAGTAAGCCCCCTTGCACTCACAAAAGGGAGGGGGGTCTAATGGGTTCAGAGTGTGTGGTTAGATTAGAATTTGGAAATCCTGGCCAAGGGCAGAGGTTGGCGAAGTTGGACCAGGATATTCTGGGAGCTCACGATCTTGGGCATTCTAGGAATAGCCTTCTCTAGAGTTCAGCTGTGGGTTTAGCAGGAGGCGGAGAGTGCATACAGTGCAATGGGAGGGCACGCTACTTCTTCTCCCAGTAACTACCAAAACTTGATTCTTTGTTCGGTACTCCAGGAATTCAGTGAATGTCTTTAACACGAGCCACAGTGTCCATCTATAACATCAAGGGAAAAAGATACTGTACATATAACCGAGATAATGTATGTGGAAAATGCCTTTTTTCATCTCTGGAAAAAAAAATAACATTCGGTGTTAGTTGCTTTTAAATGTCGAAATAGCTAGATCATTGACACTGAACTCCCAGTGTTTCAGAAGCCTGTGCAACTCTGCAAGAAAGAATGTGCCAACAATTTCAACAGCATCTAAATGTCAGCAAATGGTTTGTGAGCTGTGCAGAAACATATAGGCCATAGTTTTCAAGGAAGAGACTGTATGCTTTCAGAATCTGCAGCAGTCTGAACTCTACAAAGACCTGAAACATCTCGGTTCTTTACAGTCCCCCTTTCCACTCCTCACTGTCTATCTTTTTTTTAAACTTCCTTCCAACAGAATGGTTTTGTGACAGGTGTGTACCCTGCCAGTCCCTCCAGCTGGCTGTTCATGGTGACCGCCATCCTTGTTACTCAATATTCTCGTCTTGACCCTTCCATGGGCATGATTGAAAAGATCAAAGAACATCTGCCTGTCAGGTATGGAGGAGGGAAAGGGAATAGGAGTGGGTGTTGCTTCTGAATCAGTTCAGGTTTTTGGGGTGCGGACAGACTCAGTCCTATTCAGACACTACGAAAACGAATTCTGCTGCTACCATAACAAATGACAGTCAGTTTCAGAATCATGAGTTCTCCTCCTCCTCCTTCGAAATCCAAGCAAACCATGGTTTACGGTGACATCTAAGCTCAAAGAACTGGTTTGTTTAAAGAGGGTGAGCAACTTTTGTGAGTTAGGGGGATTTGATTCCTGTGCCCCAGACCACTGTGGGCTGTACACATCACTGCTGCCATGCCACTGCCAGTGCAAAAATGTCTTAAATCAAGGCACACTGAGAAATGGGCACTGTTCTTTGAAGGCCATTAAAACATCCTAGAGGTTCCTGGGGTGCAGATTGGCTTTAAAACGTTTACCACTATGCTTAAACTAAATTACTGGCAGTGCAAATATGTCTTAAATGCCGGTAACACATCCTAGAGGTTCCTGGGGTGCAGATTGGCTTTAAAACGTTTACCACTATGCTTAAACTAAATGATTAATGTAGTTTTTGAAGAAGTAACCGTGTTAGTCTTTAAGATGCCACAATATTTTTGTTCTTGGTTTTGTTTTGTTTTTGTTGTCTGATATAAATCATTAATGTAATAAATTCATCCAAGCACACCATGCAGTTATTTAATGTAAACAATCAATTAAAGAATTCCATCCTGTGTAGACTAATGATCAGTCTTGAAGTGTTTCTGGAAGTACTCTTTGAAAGTCTGAAAGTGTTTTAATTTTGGGTGATGTGAGAGGGAGGGGTACAGTTAAAGCAGCTGTAATAGAAGCTAATGAGATCAGCTACTGAATTATCCTCCAGAAAAGATTGCATGAATAGGCATGCTGTAGAATTGGAAAGTACTGTATGTTACTACTTCATGGAATACCTATACAATGGCTGCGTCTTTTGATAGCTTTAAAGAAAACCTGTGGAAGGTAATTGTATCCTAGGTGAACATGATGGAGCCTCCAGGTTCAGAGGAAGTTTACCTTTTTTGCAGAGTCAGGTAACTTAATGGAGGATGCCTTTATCCATCACTCCCTACTTATTAGCTTCCAAGGAGTGTTTTCCTGGTTGTTCTCAGAGGAAAGTTGTTTAAATAGGCATGTCTAGTCAGTGTAGGTTTCCTAGGGGATTCTGGGATTTGTAGTCCAAAATATCTAGAGGGCTTCAGATTGGGGATGTGTGGGGAAAAAAACTGCAAATCAATTCATTTGTTTCACTTCTGAGGCATCTTTTACATCTTTGGTTGTCTGTAGAAAAACAGGATAAGGCAGAACTGGGTTTTCTTCTCTTATAAGATTATTCCTTTTGACTTTATGTTTTATATGTTTGTTTGTTTTTCTTTCCCTAACTCTTTGTTTCTCTCCCACCTCCCTACTCATCCTCAGTGATTACCTGTCTGACGAGGGCATGGATGTCTTGAGTGCTACAGCCTTTTCTACAGGGCTGTGGCTGGCCCTCATCATGACCATGCGTAGCATTCTCAAGATGCTGCTGTGTTACCATGGTTGGATGTACGAGGAGCATGGCAAGATGTCCAACACCACTAAAATCTGGCTGGTATGTGTTGCTAACACATTGATGATGCTTTGAAAGGGATTCTTTAAAATTCATTTCCAGTGCACCACTGACGCACTGTGTCAGTTAGCAACAAAAAAAAGAGGAAAGCTTCATCTCCCTACCCTTCCATGGGAGAGTGAGAAGGTAGCTTTTCATTTCTCAAGAGTGTTAAGTGGCTTAAGCAAAGTACAGAGGAGGGGAACAAGAGGGGATTGTTTTGTTTTTGTATCTTTTCCTTTAAAGGAAAAAAAAGAGAATTTAGATTGCACTAAACTGGGTTGTGTAAGCAGAGTGGAATGTATGATCTACACCAAGTTAGGCTGGGATAATTAGGCTCCCTTGTCACAGAGATTGCCAGAGTTGCGCAAGTAATGTTCAGCTGCCAGCATGGTTGGCTACTGTGTATACTACAGAAACCTACCAGAGTGATAGTTGGACAGTGGTGACAGGATGATACTCCTTACTGCACCTGAGGATAGGTGATGTGGCATGCAAAACTTTATCCTGTAACTAAGTGGAATGACAGGCAGGAATGGGGGAAGTTCATGGAGAAACTACTGGGAAATAGGTCTACTGTCCCCCTGTGTCTACTACTCGAGTCAGTCGCTTTACTCTTTCTAATGGTAGGGGACACAGATATGGAAACAAATAAAAATCTCTGTAGGGGCCTGATTATTCTGTATGGGAAAGTATCTGATTTTTTTATGGGTGAGTTGTGATCTCTGCTGCTGCCCAGCCCAGACAGATGTTTGCCAATTAAATGCAAACTATGCTGCTAAGATTGGGTAAAATAGCTGTTTGTAAAGCTAAGGAGGACAACAGAAAGGAAAATGGAACATTGTTATGTTTTCCTGCCAGCTTTACATTTTGCTTCCCCCCCCCCATCACAGGCGTTGGTGAAGATTTTTGCTGGGCGGAAGCCCATGCTGTACAGCTACCAAGCGTCATTGCCTCGGTTGCCTGTTCCTGCCCTCAAGGACACTGTGCAAAGGGTGAGTCCAGTTTATTTCCTATTCTTTCCTCCTCTAGATCAGAAAAGAGTAGGAGGGCAGGTCTAAATGTACAGGTAGATCTCACTTGAGATTTGCAATAGATCAACAGGTATTTCCAGCTCCCAGTTGCCTTAACAACAGCCACATTTCCAAGCTCCCATACCCAAATTAAGCTATGGAAAAGCAATGCTTGGTGAAGAAACCAGGTATGGATTTTTGCATGAAAATATTTGTGATTTTGAGTTTCCTATTGATCACAAATTCCCAAACAGAGCAAATGGTCAGAAGCATCTTCATTATTAATCCATAGGGTATATCTACCTGCTTGCAAAATAGATCTTGCAGGCCTGGGGTTTACTAACCTCTACTATAGATGGCAGATTCAGAGTTAGAGCTATAAATTTTTGTTGTTATATGCTATCAAGTGGAACTGACTTATAGCAACCCTAAGGTAAGTGGGATATTTAAGGAATGGTTTTCCAGTTCCATCCTACCAGTGAGTTTCCATGGCCAAGTGGAGAATCAAACCCAAATCTCCCGAGTCCTAATCCATCACTCTGTCCATTACACCATGGATATAGATGTAGACATATTATGCTGCTTTTCTTTGACTGTAGCACTATAGACTGTGCATACCTATATACTATAGACAAACTATACACTATAGACAAACACTGCATGTCTGGAAGCTTTGCTGTGTGAAATAAACCCCATATATATATAAAATTAGCATACTATTGAAAAGATGAAGTTTAAACTTTATCATGCTGCTTTTCTATTTGTTGACATCCAATTGTAGGATTCTGCCCCCTACTACTCATTGTAATTGCCTAGTATAGAAGAGTGTTTTCCTCAAAATTTGCAGCAGGGGAAGAAAGAACCTAGTGAAATTTCCATGAACTATTCACACTCTTCCATACTGATATAGTAATTTAAAACAAATGTTAAACACAAAAATCCCTTCAACAACACGGGACATCTGGTGCTGCAAGCAGGGGAGTGGCAGGACGTATACCCTGAATTCTTCTGGGCAGAGAAAGGAATATAGATTTCCTTGCTGCAGCAGAGTCTGGTTTCACAAAGCAAGATCTACCTGGAATCTGACGTAGTTTTGTCCTATCCTTTGTTCCTAACTCTTGATTCCTGCCTATGAAATGAGGAAAGGCCAGAGCATGCTTGAGCAAATGCAGGATTTGCAGAGACAGAAAGCGAGAGAGAGAGATTGTATTAAAAAATCCAGGTGATGAGAACATCCGCCAAACAGCTCGGGGGTGGGGGGGGAAACGGAACAAATCAGGTAAGCTGACAAACTGTTAGGGAGCAAAATGGGGGAATAAAATGAAACAGAATATCCTGGAAAAATGCGTGGCTGGGTGGAATCTTGAAGAGGGGCCCTTCAGATAGAGATCTCTGGTTGTAGGTCTTGGGTATTTTTTAATGGAGATGCTGATGGCTGAAATGGGGACTTTCTGCTTGTACCCTATCTGCTTTGCCACGATGCTAGTACTGTATCTCTTTCAAAGTACTGTAATGATTTATCATGATACCTAACCAGATTTCTTGTGGCATGCTCGTGTATTGCAACACAGTTTGGAAATGATAATAGGCTGAGTTGTACTTACCGTGATGTATACAACATCTTGTACATCAGATAAGAATAAAAACTAGGTTACTCTTGTGTGTGGGAAAAGCTTATCTGAGCTGTGCATTTGATAGACAGATGTTGTTGCTATGTGCCTTCACGTCACTGCAGACTTATGCGAGCTTATGAATGAGAGATCTCCAAATGTCCTGTTCTCAACAGTCCTGCTCAGCTCTTGTAAACTCAAGGCTCTGTTTCCTTTAGATAGTCAATCCTTCTTATATATGTACAGTACTTCCTCTTTTCCTGCTGCCTTACACCTTTTCCAGCATTATTGTCTTTTCTTGCCTTCTCATGATGTGCCCAAAGTAGGACAGCCTCAGATTCATTGTTTTTGCCTCCAGAGATAGATCAGGTTTGGTTTGTTCTACAACCCGGTTGCTTGACTTTCTGGCAGTCCAGGGTATCCACAAGGCATGGCAAAGGATGATTTATGGGGATTGCATTTCAATATACTGTATTCAGTTGCCTTAACACCTTCGCCTATAGGAAACCATTCGTTCTCTCCATTTTGTGACCTAGCAGTAGCTGCCTGTCCCCAATACGGGTTACACATCAATACAAGTGTTGAGACACACCAATTTCTATCAAAGCAATCCAGAGTTTCTCACAATCTGCACAGTCAAAGGCTTTGTTGTAGTCTATAAAGCATAGGCTGATGATCTTTTGAAATTCCTTGACGTTCTCCAGTAGCCAGCAGATATTTGCAATATGATCTCAAGTGCCTCTTCCCCTTTTAGAATCCAACTTGAACATCAGGCATTTCTCTCTTCATATAAGGTGAAAGTATTTGTTGTAACATCTTGAGCATCCCTTTGCTTGCATGGGAAATCAATACAAGGTATAGTTACTGCACTCCTTGACATCCCTTTCTTGGGGACTAGAATGTTATTCTAATCATCCATCATCATTGACCATGCTGACTGGGGCTGATAAGAGTTCAAGTTGGACAGTCTCTGGAGACCCACATATTCACCACTACTTCTTATTTCAAGCCCCCTCCACAAATCCCTAACTTTCCAACTTCACCTATAGAAAATACCTTTATAGATCTGAAGTGTCAGATTTCTGCTTTGGGTTTTTACGTTGGGAAATGAAGGGTTTGTTTTAGCTTTATTCCCTTGGAAGCTGCACTAGTCCCATCTGTATGAGGTTGCTGTGCTCCCCTTTCTTTCCTCTAGATTTTGCCCCCCCATCCCATAGTCACAGGCATCCCAGAGGCATTTGTGGGAACATGGGTCTCTTTCCATGGTGGGACAGGCTGGTAAGCTGAGGCAAAGACTGGATTCTGATGTGCGCGTGGCCTTCTGCTTCCGTTCCTTTCTCTCCACCAGTATCTAGAGTCCATACGGCCCCTTACGACAGATGAAGAGTTCCAGCGGATGACAGGTCTTGCTCGAGACTTTGAACAGACCCTCGGACCGCGCTTGCAGTGGTACCTCAAGCTTAAATCCTGGTGGGCACCCAACTATGTGAGTGATCACTACAAAGGTCGGAGGGGGAGGCCCCCCCCCGGGTTGTGCAGTGCTGTCCATGGCTTGTCCATGTATGTGTCTTTTTAATTCTCTTTCTCCAACCCCACCCCTTGCCCAGGTGAGTGATTGGTGGGAAGAGTATGTGTATCTCCGGGGTCGAGGCCCACTGATGGTAAACAGCAACTATTACATCATGGTGAGTTTCAGAAACTAGCAGAAGAATTTAATTGGGGAGGGTGGAGTGTTTCTTTTCAGTCTCATCTCACCCACCCACTCATCTCTGTGCTCCTTTCTGTACACCCGCTTGTTGTAGGATTTTCTATACGTAACCCCTACCCCAATCCAAGCCGCTCGGGCTGGGAATCTTGTCTATGCAATGATGCTATACCGCCGCAAACTCACCCAGGAGGAGATCAAACCGGTGAGTGGGATCGAACCCCATGAGTTCCCTCTCTCAGAGCAGGGAAGGTAGTCAGATGGAGAGGAAGGTGGGGTGTGTGAAGTTGGGGTCAACTTGCTCAGCAGGGTGACGGTTCAAAATGCAGAAAACACTGAACGGGTGCTGAACGTTTTATAAATATAGCAGAAAGTTGTCTTCTTTGTTCTTTAGTAGCTTTCCCCAACTTGGTGCTTTCCAGAGATGTTGGGCCACAGTTCCTGTCATGCTGGACTGGGGATTATGGGCACTGTAATCTAACACACCTGAAAAGCACCAGGTGTGAGAAGAGGTTTATTTTCCTTTTAAAAAATGAGGCACCTAACATCTTTAGTTTCGCCTCTTTTGAAAGTGGTGAAATAGTGTCTCTGGACTATTACAGTAGGATGTGGTATCAATTGGGGGAGGGTCAGTTCCAAGCCCCCTCCCCCACACGGATGCCAGAAATAGTGGATAAGCGAAGCACTTGCTTCCAGTTTCTATGGTGTCCATGTATGGTTGAGAGAGGGTGCCCTGGCACCTAACAGCTTCCTGACCTCCTGTTTGTAAGGGAGGCTTCCCTGAGACCAGCAACTGCTGCTCCCCCCCCCGATCCTCCCCCATGTAACCTCTTTGTTTCACCTGTTCGTCTTCCGGCCACAAATATATTTCCTTTAAACCACCTGTATATAGCATAGTCCAGCGATGGCGAACCTATGGCGCGCGTGCCACAGCTGGCATGCAGAGAGCCCTTTCTGCAGGCACACAAGCCATACGTCGCTGGAATGCTACTCCCCCCCCCTTCCAGCAGCCAAACCTGAGGAGGCGGCTGCAGCCACGGTGCTGGCGCTTCGACAGGCAGCGGGCCAGGATCAGGAGCAGCTGGCGCTGGTGGCGGATCCAGAGTGGGGTCTCGAGGCACCTCCGTGCCCAGGATTCCTCCTTCCGCCACCACTTCCCATTTTGCCACCGCCACTTCCAGTTCTGCTGCGGCTGCGGCCCACTGTTTTTTCCCTTTTCTTTTCTTTTCAGTTTGGGCACTTGGGCCCAAAAAGGTTCGCCGCCACTGCGATTGTTTGTGGTTCCATGTAGTGACCAGGCTTGCTAGTATACTTTAGGAATGTGTGTTTCTTGGGTTATTTTACTTATTTTCCCCCCAGGAAGCAGATAAATGAAACCGCGGATACTGATCCCGCGGATACGGCAGTCCTGCTGTACTGGTGCTTTTCAGTTACTGTATTTTCCTTCTAGCCCAGTGAGGTTAACAGCAGCTTTAGAGGCTCATTTCAATTGGGGAACCAGTACTGGGGATGGGGGCGGGAGAGGATTTCCACATCATTTGTGTGTTTGAGTTGACCTTGAGTTGAGCACTTTCTCTGCTATGTGCAGTTGGTTCTGAGTGAGCCGGGAGCAAAGAAATGGGCAGAGAGGAAGCCTAGGAAGGGCAAAGCTAGAGGTGGCACCCTCTGACATGAACCAGGTTGCTGAAATACTGTCTTACAATGGAGAGCAAGACAAATGGTTTACCTTGCTTGAGGAGCAGGGGGTGGAGCTGCCACCCATTCCTTTGTGTTTCTATGGGTTTGATTGGCTTTTTATTTAGTTAAATATTCATTCCTATCTTGAATATTAACAGTACCTAACTGTGGTAAGGTCACTGAGTGTCTTCAAAGTATCCACAACAAAACTCTTCCATGTTTGTTCCTTTCCCCTGGTGCCATCTAAACCTGGGGTTCCCTCCCCCCCGGTGAAAGCAGAGCACGGTCCCTAATTCCGTCATCCCTCTCTGTGTGGCTCAGTGGCAGCGTCTCTTCAATACCACCCGGTTGCCAGGGGTAGGGCTGGGTAAGTGACTTGGGGGGCCTTTTGAAAGGACTCCCACTTTACTGCCTGCTCTCTGGGGTCTTTAGCAGGGTGCATCTGCTCTCTGGGAAGTTTCTGAGTCGTTCCATATCCTACAGGAGGCGTTTTCAAAAGGCAAAACCTGCAGTCTACGCTTCCTGGACCCTCAAGCCTTGTCAAAGTCTGCCATTTCTTCAGTTTCACATGCAGCTGCTCTGAAATGTCAACTCTTTTCGGCACGTGCCAATACCTGCAGTCTACGCTTCCTGGACCATCAAGCCTTGTCAAAGTCTGCCATTTCTTCAGTTTCACATGCAGCTGCTCTGAAATGTCAACTCTTTTCGGGACTTGCCAACAACTTTTGAGAACGGGCTTTGTTTCCCCGCTTTGGGCTGACTCTGACCTTGCCAGTTTGAGGGAGAGACTATCTGGATACTCTATTGGAAGGCTATATAGTAGGAAACCCACACACCCCATATCCATGAAGTATGAGTTTGAAGTTCCCCTCCCCGATGCTGCAAAACACAGATTATAGTTAACACTACTATACAGTAATAGCAAACATTGGACATAGGATGGTCTCTGGCTCTCTCTAGTGGCCAGTTCTGATGAGTTCCCCTCCCCGATGCTGCAAAACACAGATTATAGTTAACACTACTATACAGTAATAGCAAACATTGGACATAGGATGGTCTCTGGCTCTCTCTAGTGGCCAGTCCTGGTAATGACACTGTAGAAATAAATTTCTCTAGTGAATGTTATATATACTGCATGGTCTCTGGCTTCCTCTAATGGTCTGTTTTGGTAAGTTCAACATTAGAAACATAGGGAGATATCTCTATATATGGATTTTCTTTTTAAATTTCTCTAGTGAGTGTTATATATACTGCATGGTCTCTGGCTCCCTCTAATGGTCTGTTTTGGTAACTTCAACATTAGAAACGGAGATATCTCTATATATGGATTTTCTTTTTAATATTTTCAGACTATTTAAGTGAATATGTGGATACTCATTCCATGGATAAGGGGGGTCCTACTGTATGGTGTTGCTATGAGCTGCAGGCTTTTTGTTGTTCTTTCCTTTATTCTATTTTCTCATAGCAGCTTTGCAGGTGCATCTCTGTGACTACTCTCTCTTTTCCTCTGCCCTTTCCTTCCTGGCTTACCCCACTTCCAGATGATGATCCATGGCTGCCTGCCCATGTGCTCAGCTCAGTATGAACGCATGTTTAATACAACCCGTGTCCCAGGCTTGGAGGGAGGTAGGATGCTCTCGCACACCTTGCTCCCTGTCCTTGAACATTGGTACCCACAAAGCATCTGATCTGCGCAGAGATATTTAGGTTTGCAAAAAAAAACCCAGGAGAGGTGAATTTTTATTTTATTGCAGGCTTGTGGAAGCTTTTGACTTCCTGATGTATTGAATTCTAGTTCTGATGGTCTCTTGCCTTTGGTTATACTGAGTGGGACTTCTGGGTGATCACGTCCAAAACATTTGACACACTGCTGGTCCTTCTCCTCTTCCCCAGTTCAACTGCTTGTTCTACCTCTTCCAAGCAGCAACCACTGCCTGAAGAATTAGGGAGAGGTGATCCTTCCTCCATGCCCATCTACCTAAACATGGCTGTTAAAGACAGGATAAGAGAATGTAGTGAGAGGGAAACTGGAGAATATACTGAGTGGGACTTCTGAGTGATCACGTCCAAAACATTTGACACAATGCAGGTCCTTCTCCTCTCCCCCAGTTCGACTGCTTGTTCTACCTCTTCCAAGCAGCAAAGGTGGTTTCAGAGATCAGAAGTGAACTGTACGAACTCAAGAGTTTTCTTAACCTCCATCCACCTCTTTTCTTTCTTGGTGGAAAGGAAGATCTTCAGAACTTAATAAGGACTCTGTGTAATGGGTCAGAAGTGGGGTGCAAGTTCAGGAGAGATGATAAATCAATGGGAGGATGAGTAAGAACAGGCAGCCAAGAAGGAAAGTTAGATCTAACCAAGGAATTAAGTTTGAGCTAGGGATGGGAGAGAGGCTAAGGACAGTTTTCAGGCATGGTTGCCAGCAAGAATGCTGATGCTCTGATCCAGTAGTTCCCAATCTTGTGTCCCAAGATGTTCTTCGGCTACAAAAATCCTGGCCAGCACAGCTTCTGGATGAAAGCTTCTGGGAGTTTTCTTCCAAGAACATTTGGGTTACCCAAGGTTGTGATCTAATCTGCAATGTCCCTCAGTATGCATGGGTGAGTGTTTGCTGCCACAAGAAAGTGCCTGGCAAAACACCGATGGAAAAATAACCTTAAAAAAGTATAGCCCAGTCTTCCAATCTCCAGTTGTTTCGCATTATGACTCCATCAGACCTAGACAGCATGGAGAGCGGTTGAGAATGCTGGAAGTTATGGTCCGGAGGATGCCAAGTCAAAAAGGCCAGTTGGCACACAGATACCCCACAATTCCTACGGCAACCCTATTTTCTAGAGCAGTGGTTCTCAAACTAGGGTCCCCAGAGGTTCTTGGACTATGACTCCCAGAACTCTTGGCCAGCACAGCAAGGGGTGAAGGCTCCTGGGAATTGCAATCCAAGAGTAACTGGGGACTGGCAACCAGTTAGGGATTCGTTTTGGGCACCCACAGCCAGGAACAAATAGATACATACACTCATTTTTCCTTTTCCTTATACAGTGGTGCCTCGCACAACAAGTGCACCATAGAACGACGAATCCGCACAACAGGGTTGTTCTAGCGATCGCAAATGTGATCGCACACCGACGGCCCCTATGGCTCAAAATCGCAGAGCGAAGTCCTTTTCCTTATATGCAGTTATTATTTAAACCTTGCCAGGTCAAAATATTCATTTGGGGACACAACACTCCCTTCTCTTAAGCTCACCCATTGGGGAATAAACCAGTTGGGGGGGGAATGTTGTGTCCCAACTGAACATTTGGATTAAGCAGTGTTTTGCAGGAGCTTGTGAGATGGCTGCATGACTTGGCAATAGTTCTCCAGAGGCCACTCCAGGGTGTACCACTTTCCCAGTCAAATTGCATCTGTGCCCTGAGATGAAACAGGAATCTAGGAATTCCAGAGAAAACCCTGGGTGCTAATGTCAGCCTTTTCTTCATTGGGTGCAATGTCCCTTTGTTAGATTTTTTCCCTGTTCGTTGAGAAAGGTCCCACTTTAATCCCAGGGCAAAGACTCACACAGGGCATGGACTGTGGCATGGCAGCATTACTGCTGCTTTGCCCCAGTTAAAGGCATCCCACAACCACCACCCCCTGCTGTTCTTTTTTTAGCCTGAAATACTAAGTATTGAACTTAAATCCCTGTATACAAATGTTGCTTGTGCATCAAGGTACAATCCACCTCCTCTGCTTCCTTTTTTTCTGGTACTCCTGCGGGAAGATATTGGGCTAAATGGGTATTTATTATGACCCTGAGTTTTAAAAGTTTTGTTTTGTTTTGTTTTGTTTTGGTTTTTTTGGACTAAACCCCAGAATCTCCTCAGCCAGCATGGTTATTGACCAGTCGGGCCTGGGGAATTATGAGAGGAATAGTCCCAAGAAGTAACTTTTCCAAACTCTGTTTTGTTTTGACAAGAGTTCTTACCTTATATTCTTCCCTCTATAGACACCATAAAGCATCTGCGAGACAGCAAGCACATTGCCGTTTACCACTCTGGGCGCTTCTTTCGAGTCTCTCTGTACTACAATGGAAAGCTGCTGCGCCCACGAGAACTTCAGGCCCAGTTCCAGTCTATCTTAGGAGACCCCACACCCCCTTCGCCTGGGGAGGAGAAACTGCCTGCCCTGACCGCAGCTGACAGGTGAGAGGTTTTGCCTGTCCTGAACCAGCCTTGCTGTGTCGGTAGCAATCCTGACACAGCCCTTTACAAAGTGCACATTTTTGTGTACTTGAGGTGTCCGGGAACTAGAAACATATTCAGTCCTTTCTTATATTTCTCCCCATTGTTAAAGTAAAGGGTTGGGGAACAAACGTCTGGAAGGCCCCATGTGGCCCCTGGCTTAGTCTGCAACATCTTCTGGCTTCATTCATCAGGCCTGCTTGGATGGGATGGTAGAAAGAAAGGGGGGGGGACATAGAGAGAGACAGGAGGGCAGAGAGAAAGAGAGGGGGCTAGGACTAGGTCAGTGTGGTGACCCAGAAAGAAAATTAGGTGGCACAGAGAAAAAGAGAGGCGTCCCACAGAAATAAGCAAAGAGAGGAAAGGAGAGGAGGTGGTCCTGGAGGTGGAACATACAGTACAATCCTGCAGCGTGGCAGACTCTGCCTGCTTTTGCACTAAATCTACCCACCACTAATGTGTGGCTGACCAGTTATTTCTAAATGAACACGGTCCTCAACAGAAAATGGATTCCCTGCAAGAACTTAGTATGGTTTCCCATACTAAGAACAGAATCCAGTTTTCCCTCAGAGGAACTGCAGCACAATCTGAGATGAAAACATTCAGAATCAGGAAATCAACTAAAAACAAAAAGGCTTTAAGGTTCTTTTCCTTTCCTTTTCTAAGGCTGATGCCCAAGGGACATTCTTGGTTTGGGCTGAGTCATACCATGATCCGGGATGTGGTGGCGCTGTGGGCTAAACCGCAGAAGCCTGTGCTGCAAGGTCAGAAGACCAAGCAGTCGTAAGATCGAATCCATGTGACGGAGTGAGCTCCCGTCGCCTGTCCCAGCTCCCGCCAATCTAGCGGTTCGAAAGCATGCCAATGCGAGTAGATAAATAGGTACCATCTCGGTGGGAAAGTAAACAGTGTTCCGTGTCTAAATCACACTGGCCATGTGACCACGGAAAGATTGTCTTCGGACAAACGCTGGCTCTATGGCTTGAAGAGCGGGATGAGCGCCGCCCCCTAGAGTCGGACATGACTGGACAAAAATTGTCAAGGGGAACCTTTACCTTTACCTTTATACCATGATCCAACTAACACAGAAAAGCAAAAGTTTCATAGTTGTTATGATGGAAGAGAGAAGAATCTCTTGCACCAGTGACATATCCACGTTGCGTCAATAGGAGAACCTCTGTCATTGTGTTCTTGCTGGAGAGTGGGAGCCACCTGATGCATCATGATGTTGCATAAAAGTTTGAGGATACTTAGGACATATGAATGCAGCCTTGTTAGTCCATGGCTGGAGCATCAAGAAGCTTGAAGTTACCCTTGGTTCCTCTCCACTGGTCTCCATCGCCGTTGTCCCTGCTTCTTTCAGTGCTGTTTCTCTGGAACCACCATGAGCTGTAGCAAGAATGCGGAAGTTACAATCCTCCCGATGTTTTCAAATTGCAACTTCCAGCAAATCCCACCCCACCCCCTAAGATGAGGCTGATGGGATCTGAAATCCAATAAATTTGGACGGGCCACATTTCCCCCATCAAATGGATTGACTCCACATGGCAGAACATTGGAAAGATGTTTGTGCACATGGTGGTTCTTCCCTAAGTTTGGAAAAATAACGCTGGAGTTGGATAATTTTCCAACTGATCGGCAACCAAGCTGATCAATTGTCTGCTCAGGCTGGCATTCCCCAACTCCATAACATGCAAGTGCCTTACTCTTTTTACAGAGACCCCTGGGCCCGGGCCCGCAACACGTACTTCCAGACAGGGATGAATGAACAATCGCTGAGTCTAATAGACAATGCTGCCTTCTTTGTCAGCCTGGACACCAGCGAGCAAGGGCTGAGGGAGCCCAATCCAGGTCACTCGCTAGACGCCTATGCCAAGTCCCTTTTGCATGGACGCTGTTGTGACAGGTGGGTGCTTTGTGGGCTGCCTTGAGTCCTTTGCATGTTCTATAGATCAGTGGTCCCCAACCTTGGGCTTCCAGATGTTCTTGGCCTTCAACTCCCAGAAATCCTGGCCAGCCAAGGTGGTGGTGAAGGCTTCTGGGAGTTGCAGTCCAAGAACATCTGGGGGCCCAAGGTTGGGGACCACTGCTATAGATCAACCTTGCTAGCTTGCAGGGATCCCATCCGCATCAGACCCCACCAGAAAGCTGTTTTTCATATGGTCAAGAATATGGTCCTTACAATATGGTCCTTTCATATGATCCTTACAAAAGACACTACTATATCTCTGTGTGTGCAAGAACATGCAGATCTAACGACTTCATGTCAGAGAATTTTGCTTCCTCCATGAGATTACCATTTGGCAATCTTTCGGTGCAGGGATTTCCTGCAAATTTTACTATGAAGGTTTTTCTGTCCCTCCTCTTTTACCAGAATCAGCCCATTGCATTTAATTAAAGGCCCTGATGTTGCAAAATAATCTATAATAGGATACAATCTACTTTTCAACCACTTTATGACTGTAACAAGCTAGAAAGATATTGACAGCCCTTCAGAATTATTTATTCTTTCTGTCATTTTCTTGTGCTTACAGCAAATACAGGTTGTGTAAGGCTGCTTATCTTCCAGTGATTGTACCAATATATCCTGTAGAATTTTGCCTGTGTAACACAAGATAGTACACAATAGGCCTTGGGCCTTATGTACCAGAGACAGACATAATGCATAAAATCTTCTTTTCTGTCAGAGGAATACCGAAATATGTTCCTCAAGGTAAGAAGAAGGATAATCTCAAACCTAGTGTCAAGAAGCCTCCCATTCTGATTTCCGGTAAGGGAGAATGCAGGATTGGCAGAAATATTCTGCAATTACCACTGGTGTAGTGGAGGATTTTAAAATGCAGGTAAGGTTCCTATGGCTAATTTCTGCTTGCTTAAGGAAAATCACTTTAAGTTTTGGTGGCAAATTGCCACCCATTAACAAGTTGCTGCTTTGGTTCCTAGGCACGCAGTCAGTTGCGTACCCAGGAATGCAATTAGCACTTTGTTAAGTGAGCAATAATATACTGCCAAGACTTTTATGGTTTCCCTTATGGAGGCATAAATCAGCAATAGAATTCTGGCTGCAGGAGCTTGGAATTTCAGAATGCTTGGAAGCTGTTAGGAAGGGCATCAACATGGGAAGAATTAGGAATGTGGAAACATACGGAGTTGCCTTGTACTGACTTGGATCATTGTCTATTTATCCCCTTATTACCAACTCTGACTGACAGCATTTCTACCATTCCAAGCAGAATTCCTCCCTAACTTTGTCAAATTAAGCAGGAAAGATGTGAAAAGCAATGCATTTGAATGCAGTGAATTACTATTCTGCTAGATAGCAGCAAAAAGATCATAAGTATTTTTTTCATTTGCGAGCAGGCACAGAATGCATAATAATATCAAACATGCCTTTGAACTTGTCTTGTAAACAACTGTAACATTTATTTTAAAACCAGTCCTTAGAAGCAAGGTTGTTTAAACTAAATCTATGTTTTCCTTTGTTGACTTTGGAGGAAAATGTAAACAATACTAAAAGCAGCAATATAAAATGAATATTTTTATTAAATCGTTGCAGTCACTGTAATTGGATAATGCTAAATGGATATTGTTATTATTGGTGTTTGCAAGCAACTTTAAGAACATAGATACTTACTGTCAGAAAGACTGCAGACAGATTAAATTTAAGTTGTTGACTGAAACAAGATATACAAATGAGTTCCTTCAGAAAGAATTATGAGGAGAAGGAGAAGAAATATCATATAATTCATATGCAGGCTGGCAATATAGTCCACCTAGGGTAAAAAAAATAATATTATTCTTATTGTTGTGTGTTAATTATTAATTATATGCTTAAGGCTGTCAGGTAAGAAGCAATTGAAAAACATTTATTTTATTTTCATGATATAAAAATAGGGGTTTCTGCCTTTAGCACAATGCTTTCTTGGAATTTATACACTTCAGGTATAAGCTCTCTTAAGAAAAGGACAAAATACATGCGGTTTTTGTACAAGTCATTATTCTGCTTAAAATGTTGAGTATAATATCCAGAAGACTTTTTTGAAAGGTCTGGGTTTCACACTAGACAGCTTTTCCTTGTGGAGAGGATTATCAGCTGTGGACAATCTCCTGGAATTCTACTCCAATGGGTCTACTTTATGTAGGATCCAAGGATGAGATGATTTGTTGGACCAAAGTCTGACAACCTAGAGGTGCTGGGGATTAAACCTGCCCTCTTCTCTGGCAAAAGCATAGGTTCTAGCAGCGAGGCCCAGCCCCATCCTTCAGGGCTACATCTAGGCTGACAATTTTTTCCTGCTCCTTCTTTTGGAATAGGTGGTTTGACAAATCTTTCACTCTGGTTGTTTATCGCAATGGGAAGTCTGGAATCAACGCAGAACATTCATGGGCTGATGCACCAATAGTGGGACATCTCTGGGAGGTACAGTCCCGTTTGAGTCTTCTTCAGTGTCATTTAGAAGGGTGGGGAGGATTTGAAAGCAAGGATTCTGGGATCCACCGGGAATGGGGACAGACCTCACTTAGGGCAGAAATGGGGGACTGTTGGTCTTCCAGAAGATTTACACTTCAGCTCCCAGAAGCCTTTAGCACGCATGGTCAAGAGTATGGAATTGACACATCCAGAAGACCAACATTTTCCCAACCCCTTCCACCAATAAGTGCAGGAAGGGAAGCAAAATAACATATCATCCACGTGGCTGCTCTTTTTTTTTTTTCACAGTACACCATTGCCACAGATGCTTTCCTACTGGGTTATGATGCTAATGGGAACTGTAAAGGTGATGCAGACCCGAACATTCCTCCACCCCAGAAACTGGAGTGGGAGATTCCACAAGAGGTGAGTTCAGGGTTAAGCTGGGGGACAAAAGATGTCAGCATTTGAAATTCTGTATTCATAACATGTTAAAAAAATAATTAAAGAGGGGTGTAGAAAATTTTCCCTGAAAACAAAAGTGCCTTTAAAAGTACAGCTTGGGAAATCATTTACTGTGCTTTATTTATAGTGGTTTTCAAAACAATCGGCTACTTTTCTGTTAATCCTGAGAACAAAGTTGATGATATAATACTGCTTTGAAGAGTTTCATTCATGCCTGCCAGTTTAGTCTGGAAGCAAACTAAAGGTTGCAATTATGTAATGAGATGAATGTTGTTGTTCATACGTTGTCCATATGCAAATAGTGTTTCCAAGACCAACAGTACACTCTACTGGTGATGATAATAGTATAATTTTGAAGTGGTCTAACATCCTAGGCTTTTAATACGATAACCCTGTGTTGGTCCAGAGCAGTGGTTCCCAACCTTGGATCCCCAGATGTTCCTGGCTAAAGCTTCCTGAAATCCTGGCCAGCACAGCTAGTGATGAAGGCTTCTGGGAGTTTTAGTCCAAAAACATAAGGGGACCCAAGGTTGGGAACCGATCCTTTGTTGGGATAAATGCCAGCTGTGACCAACATAGGCTTCTGATTTTCTCCCAAGAGGTCTATAAATTTATGTAAGACCCCTATGGAGGCTCAAGTGTCAGTTTTCTCATCTGACCAATGAGCAGGGGTAAGTGGGCTTGGCTGTAGACTGGCAGCACTGATCTGTAGAAGTGGGCTTAGCTTATAGCCATTGTTGTCTGTAATAGTGCAGGAGAAATTAGGAAATGCTGGTGGGAGATCTCTCCATCCCACTTTCTTCCTTATTCCTGAGACCGTTGCATATTCAACTTGTATACCAGCCTTCTTTAACATGGTACCTCTGGACATGTAGGACTTCAACCCCCACAATCCTGCAAACAAGCTTTGCTGTGAGAGTTGTAGTTCAGCACATCTGGAGGGTGCCAGATTGCAGAAAGCTGTTATGTGTAGTCACTATTTATGGACTTTAACAGTAAGGTTGCCAGGAGGTGCAACTGAGGAGTCTAACGCCGAGAGAAGAAATCGGGTCTTCTCGGCAGTCGCTCCTCGGTTATGGAATAATCTACCTCCAGAGATTGGTATGGCCCCTTCGCTGGGTATTTTTAAAAGCCAATTAAAAACTTGGCTATTCAGGCAAGCCTTCCCTCCGGACACTATTTGATCTATCTTCTTTATTCCCCCCCTCCCTGTCTTGAATGACTTTTAAATTTTGATAATAATGCTATTTTAATTGTTTATTTTGTATGCTGTACACCGGCCAGAGTAGTCGAACGACTAGATGGGTGGGATATGAATGAATGAATGAATGAATGAATGAATGAATGAATGAATGAATGAATGAATGAATGAATGA